AATGAGAATATGTTTTGAAAAGAAAATTCTAGTTTTAAATATTTGACATATTTAGTCAAAAACTTCAAATAATTTTGATTTCCAAATGTACTTCACTATTCAGTGTCTTATATAAAATAATTTAAAAAAAAAAAGGGTAATAATTTAGCAAATCAATTCATTATGACATATACAAGATAGCGTACAAAAATTTTCAATCTGCTTAGATATTTCTCCGCCTATATGCATCTGTTTACAACACTTCAATATCTTTGAAGACAGGAACCAGCACTTTTATATTATAAATGGTTTCTGTAAGTAAATTTATACTCGTATGTCTAGAAGAAAATTTAAACTCATTCCTACCGATTAACGATTAACTGCACAAAAATCAAAATAAAGAACATTTTGTAACGACTTACTGAGGCACGCTTCTTTGCACTTTGAAATTAACCAAAATTTTAAGGGCTACTTCCATCACCACAATGCATATATACTGCATAATAAATTATATTTTAAGAAATAAATTCGTTACCATAAAAATTAGGGGTTGAATGTGTCGTATAATTGAGTGAACCACTATGAAAAGGTATGTGCTTATGAAACATTCGTAAAAGCTATAACTTCCATGTCAATTGTCTGAATTGAACAAAAATCGATTTAATATAAAATTAGATTGAAAAGAATTAATCTCAGTATAGAATTTGCCACACATAGTTTCTCATTACATATTCTTCTTTTATACGATATTGTGAATTTTAATTTTAAATCCACAAAAATGCCTGCTATATTTATTGTTACACTATAATAATTTATTCAGAATAACACTGTTTACTTTCATAGACATGATAATTACATAATTATGTATAATATTATTATACAAATTATATTTAATAGCATAAATTCTTAAAAACAAAATACATTGTTTGTAAATCTATTTTATACTTTGTAATTATATAGTTTTAGTATCTTACTGTCTTTATCATTATAACTATTAAACATTTTATTCTTTAATCTTTTGTTTTAACATTCCACTTATTTGGCATAAAAAAAATGTAAAACTTACTTTAATCAACTCTTCGGACTAAGTGTTTTATATAAAACAAATCTTATACACTTAAAGTATTTTATCAAATCTGTGGTAACAAAGCGAAATTAATTAAGTTGAATGCTCATTATTCCAAATTACTCGATTCCGGCAATTTTAAGACTGTCAAATTAAAATGCTAAAACCGTCCGAATATAATCAAAATAAATAAAAGAAAAGGTTTTCCAAACGAGCTATCAACAAATTTGCACCTATTTTTATAATTTAATACAAAAATCTGTTTTAATTAAAGTCCTTAAATTTTTTAAATCAAAAACTGTTAATGGCTTAGGCAAACATGAAATTTTTATTTTTACAATTGCGCCCTGATTGTATAATCGTTGCGCGCACATCTAAGTAACTAAACTATTGCGTTAAGTAATGCAAATCGAATGTGTTAAATAAAAATTGCATTGAGTTCGTAAAAAATTACAAATTGTTTGATTGCTTAATTGCATGAGATCATACAGTTGCATGTATTCGCGTTTGAATATAAACCAATGAAATATACAAATAAGCAATCAGAAAGAGGTAAAACTAAAAACTGCATGTCTATAGTGATCCAACTTATGCAATTTTGCCTTCTTACCACAGAAATAAGATAAGAAAATTTTAATATATTGCCTTTCAATAAAATTTCAAAAAGATTTTCACATTTCATTTAACTTTCAACTAAGTATATTAAAAAAAAAAAAAACAAAAAAAATAAGAAAAATATAATAACAATAATGAAAAGAAAATTGAAAAATAGAAGATAAATTTTCGCTTTTCAATTATAATCTACACCACCACAATTATTATTACGGCACATGTCACCTCACGGAGGTTCTTCATATTTATAAAAATATTTTATACGCTTTGTTTTTCTTTTGTATTTTGTTTGCATATACATATACACACAATATTGTATAGTTTTGCATATATGTATATATATTAGCCGCGGTGGATCGATCAGCGGCTCAGATCAATAATACTTAACGATCAAAATAGGTGATCTAGTGTGATCATATTACATTCAGTTTTATTTTGTAATTTATTTCTTATTTATTTTTCTTTTCTTATTTTATTCCTAGATTATCCTGATAATCATTATGTTATTCTATATATATATATATTTATGGAGTTAGTTAATATTATTATTTTTATGCATTCAATATAGATGAGAAAGGTACAGATTTGTGATGTATATAATTACACATATACTATTTTCATTGTAACATAAGTACATTTAAAGTAACTTTAATGTTATATGTAACTGTGCAATTATATATGTACATATATATTTATATGAGTTACTTAATGCGTAGATATAAAAGAGTTATTTGAGTATATTGGCCTCTTTTTATTTTTTTTGTTCTTTGTGACTTCTATTGAGTGCAACAAATTGAATATGAAATTATTGCACACTTGATATGAGATGACCACATCATATAATAACTTGTAATATTGACGATGTTGATTATAATAACGGCAGCGGTGGCGGCGGTCATCTCTTAAATTTTATGAAAAAAAAAAAACATTCATTATACAAACAGTGAAGAAAAAAAAAAACAAGACAAGGAAAGCTATAAAATTTTTTTTTAAATGAACATTTTATTGTTACAACCTTTCTTGGACGGATTTTTTATGTGTTAAATATACAAACAAACAAAATAAGAAAAGAAAAATTCATTATTTTAAATTGAATTGAAAAAGTTTAGATTAGACCAGATCGCATTCACACATAGTAACTATATATGTAAGTATATATATTTTAGAAAAATGTAGTTGAAATTTAAGTTTTTAATTTTAATTTTTTTTTAATAAGGTAAACACTTAAGGAGATACTAACTTGTTTTATTTCTCTTTTATTACAAATAACTAACACATATAGGCGCTCCATGTTTATATGTACATATGCATCTATATAGACCGAATATATATCTATAAGTATGTAATAATAATGTATAAATTGGTTTCTCTTGTATTATTTTATACCCATAGTGACATTTCTTTATAGTGCGGTTGGTTGGTCATCATACTTTATTTAATTTGAAAGGAGAAAAACCTCAAGATAAGATTGTAAAAACCTTAACCATTAATCATTGAATGACTCGATTTATCCATCCGTGAGTATTAATTCTTTATTTTTTTTTTTGTGCTTTACATTGTTTATTTATATAGTAGAAATGAAAGAGATAGAAATATTGTTTTGGAAACAATGAATCGATTAAAAGAATCTATACTAAAATACGATATGTGCACTTGTATTCGTACTTAAATATGGAAATAGGTATATACATACGTACATTTACGTCAGATGTAAATGAAATGGATTTTATTGTAAAATTTTTTTTTTCTTTTAAAGAAAAGGACAAAATTATCCTTGATGAAAATTGATTATTTATTGAAAAATTTGAAATTTTTTAATTCTAAAAAAATCATTAAAAATATTGAAATTCTTAAAGGCACCACTTTTATTTTGGGGAATCAAATAGGGTTTTACAAGATTGTGTATATATATATGTATATACAATAGGTAAATAAAATTTAAATGATAATTAAATAATTTTTATACGTCATCAGAAAATTGTAGACTTTAAGATTTTTTTTTTCTGAATTTTTACTATGGAAATGTTAAAACAATGAGTCATCGTTGGTCAATAAAATTACAAAAAAAAAATGTATTTTGATAATATAAAATATTTTGATAGTATTGAGATGGGAATAATTTTAAATGAGGCCTTTGATTTAATGACATATCCAGTTTAGAATTTTTGTTTTAATTCACTTATATGCAATAAAATTCTAATAAATGCTCAACTGTAGCAAACAAACAATTCAAATCAATTGAAATGCTTCACTTACTAATGTTATTTAAAATTTTATGATTTTAAGAATAACCGAAAGAATACTTTAATATTGTTTTAAATTGAGATATATATGAACACATTCTATAATAATAATTTACTATAAGTATTACATAAGTAGACACAGACATGGAATTACATGGATGATAAGAACATGGAATTACTTATATAAGTATAGCCATTCATCTCATTGGAAGAGTAAATTCCCATCTATGCCATTTCAGATATTAAATTATCAATTTATCTAATAATTTTGTATAATTTCATATTGTAATTAGTAATATTTAAACTTGTACAAAAACCAAATAAGCGCAACAAATATGATTTATATTACTCTTAATTGTTGTCATAGATTTGTAAATTTTATTCAATTACTTATACATTCTGCGCCGTATTGTATTTATACAACTACGCACTTAATTTTTTTTTTCAAAAAACAAAAAAAAATATATCAGTCTTATACCCCATACCTGTGAATACTTCCGACTACTCCACCAGCTTAAATCATTTTTCGTAATTTTATGGCGCAAAGAAAAAATTCCTTAAATATAGAAAAACTTAATTCGTTTGAAATTCTCAAATTTGAAAAAAAAAAAAAAAAATATCCTTCAAAAAATTGTTTCAAATAATTTAAACAAAAAATTTAATTCAAACTCCTACTTTCCATTAGGTGACAGTAGCTTGTATGCCACATAAAAGTATTTGACATGTTTATATTTAATAATACAATATTAGTCAGAATTTGACAATAGAACATTATAATTTAAAATTCTGCAATCTCACTTATTATTAGATTTTTTCGAATTTTATTCTTATATTTCAAATATTTGACCTATTTTATTATTAAATTTGATTTATTTGAAATTATTCATTTTAAGTTTAATAGGTTTCCTTTGTTCTAAAACTATTACAGCATATGAGTACTTTGTATTTGCATAAATCCTGTAAATTCTTAATTACTTTGAATTGTTTATACTGGAACTAAATAAGTATATGGTTAAGATATTAACAAAGGAATTATGTAAGTGGTAGACGAAATTATATTACGAAATTTACATTATAATCAGCATTAAGAGAAAACTTACCACCACATAGATCCTCTACCTCGACCTGGTTTATGTTTACTTTCAGCTTCAGAACTGGAACTAAGTGCAATAAGGCACATAACAATTACAATTGTTAGATCCATTTTATATTTTTTATATAATTTTATTTATTTTCAATATATTTAATTAAAAAAAAAAAACTAATTTTTTATATTAAATTGTATATATACAATTAAATATTAATTTTATAAATTAAGTAATTTTAAATTAATATTATATAAATATTTAAATTAATTATTTTATATAAAAAGTTCACTAATTATTAGTGATTTCTTAATTTCTTAAGTTAATTAGAGAAATATTAAATTTGCTTAACTCGTTCCTATGACTCGTTCCTATATATATATAACAATTTAAATAATATCGGAATAATTCCGACGTTAATGGCAAATTGTATTCAAAATCGTTAAGTATATGTACTTAGTATTATCGATTATACGTTTTTATGTTTAAATATACAAAAATATTCATTTACTGCAAAAACTATAATTAATTATAAAATTCTTTTTTCTTTTACAATTCATTATTTCAAATTATTTTAATATTCTATTCAAATTTTTTAACATTATTATTAATTCAATTATTAGGTCTGTAAATTGTTTGATATATTCTTATTGTATTATAAAAACTCATTTTTTAGTTAAAATCTTCTTTAATTATTATATTAAATATAATATATTAATTATGACAATATTAAATAACTTTATTTACTAATTCGAAGGAGTTAATTACGATCAATTTTTAAATCAATTTTAATAAATTTCTTAAATTGTTTACAAGAAAAAACACAAAATAGAAAAATCAAAATTTAATTACAGTAATCATGCGCAATTAGAAACATGTATTAACATGTTCATTTTTAATTACAATATCACTTGATTTGAAATACATATGGATGTACATATGTACAATGTGAGAATAATTTCTGTAAAATAATTTTTTACTTTTACACGTTTTTTTTATTAAACCACAAAAATATTGTGTTAATTTTATATTATGTATAATTTTCCTTTTATATAATAAATAAAAATATATTTAATTTTCCTCTTATAGGGATTTAAATAAAATTTTTCTTCTCTTTTACTAAGACTTTCAAAAAAAAAAACCCAGTAAATAATTGTTAACCGATCCAAAGCTAGTACTTGACTGAAGAAGTAAAAAAAAACAATGTCTTGTAGTAGCCAAAAGCAGCGTAACAGTACAAAAACTAAAATAAAAAAAAAAACAAAACAAAAAGGCCCGTGCATCAAACAGTGCTTAAAAGAATCAGAAAGGTAGGTACATAGGTAAAAATTCAACAGAAACACAAATTTAAAAATAATAAGAAAAAATTAAAAAAACAAAAAAACCAAATAAAATCAGAAAATACAGAGAAAAAACACAAAAAAAAATAACAAACAAAAAACTAGGTACCTACATTTTATGTACAATTTTTTTTTTTTTAACCATCATCAAAATATTGAAGATCGGCCACTATATAAAATCATCTTCAACAAAATAATGAGAGAATATCAAAAAATATTGAAAACAACAAAAAGAAAGAAAAAATGTTGAACTCACAGAAACTCAACACAATCATTTTGGTTTTAGTAATTCATTAATTCATATAAGAAAACTAAGAGCGTCGAGCGGTAAGTCAATGCTTCATATGAATTATGTATATAAACAAGAAGTAAATAGGGTGAAAAAAATAATAATAGAGAAGAAAATAATATTTACTCTCTTAATTTTTTTAAAAGGAAAATAATAATATCTTAGCAACATTAACATGTATAGAAACATTATAGCTATCAACATAATTTATCCACCTTTTATTAACATTATATATTATTTTAAATAAGTAAATAAATAATAAAACATAGTTTTAACCACCATAGTAAATTTAATTCAACTTTTTTTATCTGTTGAATTTGTTGAAAATTAAATTTTTAGCATTTCATAACATTGTTATTGCTTTATTTATTTCATTTTTTTTTTTCAAATTCGCTCTCACATTCTCTCTCTATCTCTCTCTTTTCTTAAAATTACTTAAACATGATCGCGGTGGCAATTGCCAGTGCCACATGGATTTTATATAGAAAATAAATATATAAAAAAAAGGACAAATCACGATCAGTAAAAAATATAATAAAAAATAAATTAAATTTAGGGCGGAGTTTTTTTTTTCCTCCTTAAGTTTATTTATGTATAGTATTGTAAATTTTATATTCTTGTCATATGACGTACATAATATTATGTACATTATTATAGCGCCATATGAAAATTTTTATTAAAAATAAAAGAAAAGAAAAACAAAGAGTAAGGAAAGAGAGAAGTATAAAAGAAATTTGTTAAATTGGGATCGATTCGGTATTATGTACATAATCTACATAAGCAGATAAGTATATAATACATAAGTTGCGTTGTGTTACGACTCTTTAAATTTATTTATAGTGGAAATTGAATTCGATCCAAGCTTAAAAATTTCATTAGAACATCATAGAATATGATTGATGAACTGTACATAATGTAAATATGAAATACATAATATAAGTAAAGTATATATGTGTTATTTTATATTATATGTATCAATTAGATGTGTTTGTGTTTTATAGATTTATGTAGGTTTACTAGCAATTCTGTGAGATTTAGTTTGAAAATAACGTGTGCAATTATGGATTAAATTCAATATCATTCAATTGATTTTTAGCAATAATGAATTTTGTTTAATTATATGAAAATTTTATTTTGCATTCTCACACGAATTAAAAATTTTTTAATGCACTTTTGGTATTTTCAAAAAAGCTATTGTATTGTGAATTTTTAATTGACTCTTATTTATGTACGTATAAACTTATTAATTATTTATATATATGACTCATAAAATGAGTAATTGTATAATAACGTATAGTAATAAAAGTGATTTGTAACCCTATTTATTATAGAAATATATAGAAACTGATGGTATAATGGGAAACAACCGAACTTCAAAATCATTTCTATATAGGTAATACCAAACGTTCCATTACTCGAAATGCCGAAAAAAAAAACAAAAATTTTGAATTTTAGTTTTTTTTTTTTTTTTTGTATATTTAAGTGAAAAATTTTGTTAAAAATTATATTACTTCCTCTCTAAAACAATTAATAATTTTATCATTATATTTTATACATTTTTTTTTCTTTAACAATTTTAATAATCACATTAACACTTAGATAATTATTATTAATTGATAACTAATTTACTATATTTGCTATTCATATTTTATCTACATATTTACATATCGTTATTTTTTTTTCAGTTTTTGTTTTAAAGTCTGTCATATATAGTATAATAATAATGACTTGAAATAACTTCTGCCCAACCTTAATTTAAAAAATAAATATTATGTACCTATACTAAATTATAATATTTGTACTCATACGTATACACTTTCAGATAACAGTTATATGAATATTTACATAAACAGTTGATGAGTATAACAAATTCTATATATTGTTATACATACATACATATATATTATTTAAAAAGCTTCTTGAGTTCTTGTTGTGTTAGAAATTAATGAAAAATAAAATATAATTTTACTTTTTGAAATCAAACTAAAAAAATATTTGGCAAATTGACAAAAACAAATTTAACAAACTACCTACAGGGGTTCTGGTTTCCCAGTTACGACTTTGTTGTACCTATGAGCGAGTTCTGTAACAAAATCTTGTGAGTGTTCAGAACTATGTTTAAATGTTTCTTTTCAGGCAGTATCACAAAAGTTGTGTCACAATTTTATTGTCAAGTTATTCTACTTGCAGTATTCCGTGCCAAATTATATTCTGAAACAAAATTACTTTGATTTCGAACCAACGCCCTTTTTCGTAAAGCGTCAGCACAATCCACATTCCACATAATATATGTAGAATGTAAATTATTAAATGACAAATGGTTGTACAATTTAATTGCATGTGTATATTTTTTTCTGTCGTCATTATTTACTCAATTTATGGTTACCATTTAAAAATTTTCAAAAATATTTTTTTATAATATTAAATTGTGTCAATTTTCAATTCGTTTTTGTTTGATATATTCACAATAATAAGCAGATAAGTATAACAATGACAAATTATTATAATGTTACGATTATCTTCAGTATATTTTATAATTATTTACTCCATAAACATATATTGAATATATTGTAATTAAATTATTCTTGTTACAATATGAATAAGAAATGAAAATAAAATTTTTATGATATAAATGCATTTATAATTTTCAGGTTAAGTAAAAATAAATTAAGGTGTAAAAAAAAGATTTAAATAATATGAATAACTGTTTAAATTAATTTTTGATTCATCATTAATTAATATATTTAAAAAAAGATTTGATAAGTATTTGTTTAATCATCAAGTATAAATTATGGTATTTTAGGGGTAATTTTGAGAACCTACTGATATATTGGCCAAATATATTGAGTTGGAATTACAATTGTTATTCTAACCTTGTTATATTAATGCCCTTAATGTTAACAACTCGATGCCAATATAAATATTAAATATTAAAATTTGGTTATACTTAAGACACTTTCATTTTTTCTGCCATAGTTGATTGTTTACGTATAAACAACACATAACCAATGTGTACAAAAAGATGTTGTAAATTAACTAGAATCAATAGAATTGTCAATTGTCAATGGACTATAAAAACGCTTCCAGTTTTCATGTTAAAATTTTTCATTCTGAAATTGATCATTTTTGTTTTGCAAACAATATATAAAGAATTTTCCTAGCAACGTATACACATGTTTTTCAATACGTTGAATACAGATTCTGGAAAAACCCATTCTGAATGATTTTTAGCAAAAATTATTCTATGTTTAGTATTTTTATTACTGACATAGAATAAATTATTCCTGTTTAACTAACATTAGTCTGGCATTCTTTTAAAATTTCATTTGAGAATTTGAATGGGTCTATTGTAAAAAATATCATTACAATTTTTCTGTTGATTTTTTCACTTGTTTTTTGTTTTCTTACTCGTGTTTCCAAATTTTTATTACTTTTTAAAGCATTAACAACTAAATGTACAGAACATTCAATAATTTTTGCAATTTCTCTC